TACTATGGAGCAAGACTGGAGGCAGAGGTCGCAGTGTGGACTTGTGTTTTTGTTTTACAGATAGATACAAAAATGCATAAAGATGTGTGTATGTGTATATGTGTGGACAGGGTGCCTGGTAGCTGTGACATCCCAGCATCAATGAGCACACCTAGTGCTCCTTATTTTTAAACATCATGGTCCAATAAAAGGAACCAGGGCTCCTTGGGTTATGGTTGATTTCAGGGCTCAGGCGAGGAAAATACAAGAAAAGATGAACCTGGAGCATCTTGTGGTCCCAGAAAGTAATAAAGGGCTTTCAAATAAGAAAGGACCTGTAATCCCAGCACTCTGAGAGGCCGAGGTGGGTGGATCACTTAGGCCAGAAGTTCGAGACCAGCCTGACCAACATGGTGAAACCCTGTCTGTACTAAACATACAAATATTCGCCAGGTGTGGTGACACATGCCTGTAATCCCAGCTACTCAGGAAGCTGAGGCAGAAGAATTGCTTAAGCCTGGGAGGCGGAGGTCACAGTGAGCTGAGATTAGAAAGAGGTAAGGAAAGAAGGAAGGAAGGAAGGAAGGAAGGGAGGAAAGGAGGGAGGGAGGAAGGGAGGGAGGGAAAGAAAGAGAAGGAAGAAAGGAAAGAAGGAGAAAGGAGAGAAAGAAAGAAAGCAAGAAAGAGAGAGAGAGAAAGAGTGGGTGTGTAATAGGTGGAGGGAAGGAGAAAAGTAAAGGATGAAGCCACATCAAAGTACATGGGCACCAACCTGAAAGAGCTCCTACCACAGACAGCCACTGCAGCCAAGATTCACTTGTGGATAGTGTGGTGGGTTGAATGTTGTCCCCCACAGGACCTGTTGATGTTGAAGTCCTAACTTCTGGGACCTGTGGATATGACCTTATTGGGAAATGGGTTCTCTGCAAATGTAATCAAGTTAAGATGAAGTCATACTGGATTAGGGTGGACCCTAAACCCCACTGCCTGGTGTCCTTCTAAGAGGAGAAGACGCTCACACAGGGAAAAAGGCACAGAATGCCCAGAATTGCCAGCAACTACCAAGAGCAAGGAAGGAGGCATGGGCCAGATTACACCCCAGAGACATCAGAAGGAATCAACCCTGCAGACACCTTGACTTCAGGCTCTGGCCTTCTAGACTATGAAAGAATACATTTCTGTGTTTTGCGCCATCCAGGTTTTGGTAATTTGTTATGGTACCCCTAAAAAAATCATACAGGTGCCAAAATTAAAGTGCGAAAGTTTAAGCAGAAATGGGGTATTTGCCTAATCTCTAAGTATCTCCCCCCTAATATTTATTAATTACTAAGGGAAAATAGTAACTTTACCAAAATGGAACTGGCAGACACCACCTTGGGCAATGGGGAAGGCTGACATCACTGGTAACACGCGGCATCATGCTGCCGACACCATGTAATGGGAAGGGCACATCACCTGCACGGTGTCCCTTCCCTTATGCAAAACCCCAGTCTAATCACAAGAATCAGCCGGAACACCTAGCTTGAGGGACATTCTACAAAAGAACTGATCAGTGTCAAGATCACGAACCACGAGAAAAGACTAAGGGGCAGCCACAGATCAGAGGAGACGGGACCCAACCACGGAATGCAGTGGGGATCCTGGAACAGCCAGGGCACATTGGTGAGACAACTGAGGAAATGTGAAGAACGTCGTGGTTGAGTGAGTGGCACTGTACCACTGTTACGTTTTTAGTTGTGGTCACTTTTTTATGGTTAAGATGACGGGGAAATGGAGGGAAGGGTTTATATGAACTCTGGACTGCTTTTGCAACTCTCCTGTAAGTCCAAAATTAACTTCAAATTTAAAAGGTAGTAACAAGCATACCTCATTTTATTGCACTTTGCTGTAGTGTGCTTTGCAGATATTGCAGGATTTTCTTGTTTTGTTTTCATTTTGTTTTTCAACAAACTGTAGGCTTGTGGCAACATTGCAAGTAGAGCAGATTGACTTTTTTCTTTTTTATTTTTTTTGAGATGGAGTCACACTCTGTTGCCCAGGCTGGAGTGCAGTGGTGTGATCTTGGCTAACTGCAACCTGCACCTCCTGGGTTCAAGCAATTCTGCGTCAGCCTCCCGAGTAGCTGGGACTTCAGGTGCACGCCACCATGCCCAGCTAATTTTTTGTGTGTATTTTAGTAGAGACAAGGTTTTACCATGGTGGTCAGGATGGTCTCCATCTCCTGACCTCATGATCTGCCTGCCTCGGCCTCCCAAAGTGGTGAATCACAGGCGCGCCCGGCCATCAGCACTTTTTCAACAGCATGTGCTCACTCGGGGCCCTGGGTCACATAAGGATAATTCTTGAAATATTTCAAAAGTTTTATTATTTTATCTATTATGGTGATCTGTGATCAGTGATTTCTAATGTTACTGTTGTAATTGTTTTGGGATGACAGGAACCGTGCTCACATAAAATGATGAACTTAATCTGTAAATGCTACGTGTGTTCAACTGCTCTCCCAACCAGCTGTTCCGCTGTCTCTCTCCCTCTCCTCGGGCCTCCCTATTCCCTGAGACACAATATTAAAATTAAGCCAGTTAATAACCCTACAATGGCTTCTCACTGCTCAAGTAAAAGGAAGGGTCACACACATCTCACCTTAAATCAAAAGCTAGAAATGATGAAGCTTACTGAGGAAGGCGTATCAAAAGCTGAGACAGGCCAAAAACTGGGCCTCTTATACAATATAGCTAAGTTGTGAATGCAAAGCAAAAGTTTTGAAGAAAATTAAAAATGCTGCTCTAGTGAATACACGAATGATAAGAAAGTACAACAGCCTTATTGCCGATATGGAGACAGATTCGGTGATTTATCATGGTTTGATAAAAGATCAAACCAGCCACAACATTCCCTTAAGCCAGAGCCTAATACAGAGCAAGGTCCTAACTCTTCAATTTTATAAAGACTGAAAAAAGTGAGGAAAATGCCGGGAAAAAAAAGTTGAAAGCTAGCAAAGGCTAGTTCATGAAAAAAAAAAAATTTTTTTTTTTGAGACAGTCTACCTCTGTCGCCCAGGCTGGAATACAGTGGCATGATCTCGGCTCACTGGAATCTCTGTCTCCCAGATTCAAGTGATCCTTCTGCCTCAGCATCCTGAGTAGCTAGGCCTACAGGCGATTGCCACCATGCCCAGCTAATTTTTGTATTTTTAGTAGAGATGGAGTTTCACCATGTTGGCCAGGTTGGTCTCAAACTCCTGACCTCAAGCGATTTGCCTGCCTCAACCTCCCAAAGTGCTGGGATTATACGCGTGAGCCACTGCACCTGGCCAGTTCATGAGGATTAAGAAACCACTGCCATTACATAGAAGTAGAAAGTGAAAGAGCAAGTGCTAATTTAGAAACTGCAGTAAGTAATCCAGAAAATCTGGCTAAGATCATTGATGAAGGTGGCTAAATGAAAAACCAGATTTAGAAGGAGATGACATCTAGGATTTTCATGGTTAGACAGAAGTCAATGCCTGGCTTCAACGCCTCAAAGCACAGGCTCTCTTTTTAGGGGCTGACGTAGCTGACAACATTAAGTTGAAACCAGTGCTCATTTACCATTTTGAAAAAAGGCCCTTAAGAATTACACTAAATTGATTCTGCCTGTAAACAGCCTAGATAACAGCACATCTGTTTACGGCATGGTTTACTGAACATTCAAAGCCTACTATTGAGACCTACTGCTTAGATAAAAAGATTCTCTTCAAAATAATAACTCATTGACAAGGACCTGGTCAGCTACCCAAGAGCTTATGGAGATGTACAGCGATAAATGTTTTCACGCCTGCTAACACAACATGCATTCTGCAGCTATGTAATTACTCAATTACATAGATTAATTCCCACTTTCAAGTCTAATTACTTAAGAAAGGCATTTCATAAGGCTAGAGCTGCTGTAGACAGTGATTCCTCCGATGGACCTGAACAACATCAATTGAAATCTTCTGGAAGGAGTTCACCATTCTAGATGCCATTAAGAATATTTTGGATTCATGGAAAGAGGTAAAAATAGCAACATTAACAGGAGTATGGAAGTTGATTCCGACTCTCATGGATGACTTGGAGGGGTTCAAGACTTCAGGGGAGGAAGTCACCGCAGATGTGGTGGAAACAGCCAACAGAACTAGAATCAGAAGTGAGCCTGAAGATTGAACTGGATTGCTGCCATCTCATGATAAAACTTATGAATAAGATGTGGAATTGCTTCTTAACAGATGATGAAAGAAAGTGGTTTCCTGAGATGGAATCTACTCCTGGTGAAGATGCTATGAACACTGCTGAAATGACAACAAATGATTTAGAATATTATAATGCATAAACTTAGTTGATAAAGCAGCATCAGTGTTTGAGAAGATTGACTCCAATTTTGAAAGAAGTTCTACTACGGTAAAATACTATCACACAGTTACTGCATGCTACAGAGAAAACTTTCATGAAATGTAGAGTTAATCAGTGCAGCAAACTTTATCACTGTGTTATTATAAGAAATTGCCACAGCCACCCCAAGCTCAGTAACCACCATCCTGGTCAGCAGCTATCAACACTGAGACAAGATCCTTCAGCAGCAAAAAGATTATGACTTGCTGAAGGCTCAGATTATCATTAGTATTTTTTTTAAGTAATAAAGTACTTTAAGGTAGGTACATTTTTTAGACAGAATATTATTGCATATACTTCACATAGTACAAACATAACTTTTTCATATGCAATGGGAAACCAAAAAGGTCATGTGACTGGCTTGATTGCAACATTTTGTTTATTGCAGTGGTCCGGGGCTGAGCCCACAGTTATCTCCAAGGTATGCCTGTGTTAGGGGAAGGGGTACTGCAGGAGGGGAAATCCCAGGAGGAAAGTCAGTCAAATGATCATGTGATATTTCAAGACACCATGAAATTCAGCACTGTAAAAAATTAAGCTCAATAATTACACTCCCACGACTGTTCTTCCAGTGTACCAGGCACCAACAATTGGATCGCTCGCAAGACAACGCACTGCGTTTAACATTTTTATTTTTAACTCTGCTTTGGTAGTACAAAAGTCATAAAAGTACAAACCAGACGGTTAAAAATACACCGGACACTCCAAATGGTGAAAAGTTTCCTTTACAAATTTTTACATCAAGGTAGTAGCCAACTCATTTACAACACCAAAAAGTTGTCCATCATTAGTGTTTTCTAGAGTAAGTCTGTTGTGGATTCCCCCATTCTTACAAAGAAGGAGAACACACGCAAGACCTGTAAACATCAGTTGCTTTGGGAACACTTAAGGATTCTCATCAGATAGTACAGTATAAACCAGTAAAAAGCTTATGTGTTGAAAATATTGAATGCCTAACTTTTGGCATATTTGGAAGCCTGCCAGACAAAAACTGCTCAAGTATTAGAAAATATTTAAAACGTACTCTTAGTATAAATACAATTTTAAATATTTTTGAGTATTCTCTTGCTGGTTGTATTGCTATTTTAAAAAGTGCTCTGACTTGAATAAGATGGGCAAATAATTAAAGCTGAAGAATATCTTACATTTCATCCCCCACCATTTTGAGGGCATATTTTTAAAGCAAAAAAAAAAGTATACTTCTTATTTGTTTTTAATTAAAACTATTAGCCTAGACTGCGCATACATTATTTACAGTAATATATACCCCTAAAAGTACTATATTGCTAAGTTCTGGATCTCAGTGAAGTTTTTCCAGACTGACTTTCTCTGGTCCACTGTGTATATGAACGTATACACACACGGCGTCTATTAGTTGTCTGTAAAAAACTGCATGAAACTGAATTTCCCATTCATTTAAAAGGTTAGAAATTTTTAGTTTGATGCTGGAAATAGAATCATTTAAGTCTATGTACAGTAAATACTTTGAAGTATATTTTTATAGAAATCATCTTTCGGGAAGCAAATGAAAGATGTGCTTTTTCTGTGTGAAATAAAAGAAGTGCTCAAGGCACCCTCAACACGGACATGGAGGCAGGTCTTGGAGACCTCGTAACCAACCTCCCCACCACTCACCCAGTCCTACCATAAAATCGTGTACTATTTATGTCTCTGGGTCCTTTCAGGTGTTGTGTAAAATGTACAGTTAAAAGAAAGAAGAAAAGTTGGCCAGGCCTAAAGGGAAAGTAACTACTAAGAGAGTTTTAAATAATGAGCCTTAGTTACAAGATGGAAAACAGGAAATACACGAAGAACATGGCAGAGGTAGGTGCAGGCCCATCTTGCATGAGAAAGAGGATTCTTTTGTTTTTGTCTTCGGTTGTCCAAACAAATTTGTGTCCAAAACCATTTTCTCCTTTATTCAATGGATTAACCAAGAATCACTCAGGGAAGTTTAAAAAAAAAAAAGCAAAAAAGACATGAAAACCTCAAAATTTATAAGTGATGTAGGAGTGGCATGGTGGTGGCAGGAGGGAATGCTGAATTCGTGGTCAAGGAGTCCCAAGTCTAGCATCTGGTCCCATCTGACTCCATGGTGCCTTGGGGAATCAACTCCTCAGGGGTAGACTAGATGATTTCCACTGAAGATTCATCTTTTATCTTTTGTAACAGCTAACCTGTATGTATGGAGATCTTCTTACAACCAGTGTCAAAATAGGATGTAGGAACTGGAAAAAGAGAAACACACACTCACATGCACACATGTATACACACGCGCGCGCGCACACACACACACACACACACACACCGATCATAAGCTCAGACTGTACATGGATAGTATCACTTTACATACTGATCATAATGGAAAAACTACAGTGTGTTCACCAAGGCCTGGGATTGGGGCTGGGAAGGGTAGAGGCTGGGAGTGGTTGAGAAGATACAAACAGCTCTTTCCTTCCCCAGAAGTATAATACATTTTTCAACAGACTCTTTAAACCAAAACTTGTTTCAAAGCAAACTAAATTCTGTATACAGCACAGCAGTAATTTTCTCTTTTAGGTTTGATCCACATGCCTGCTGACTCCATGATAGAAATTGTATAAAATATGTAAAAATATTCCCTAGGCAACTTCAGATCTTGAAAGTTTTCAGTCTCTTAGAGCTCTCCAAGTCAAGTCATTGCTGCAAGAGAAAACACAAAAAGTAGATCTTTAACCAAAGGTAAACATCATATCACATATGAATCTGCCTGCGTATTTTAAAACACAGAAGAATTATAATCTATTCTTACCCCATCCCACCCCATTCCTTCCACCATTATACTTTTTTTTTTCTAGAATTCAGTCTAAAGAAATTTAATTAAAAATATAATTAATTCCAAGAGTTCTGGCAAGATCTGGTTACTGAAGCGTGTGCGCCTCTCCCACTCTCTCTCTCTTGCTTCTGCTTTCCCCAAGTGATGTGCCTGCCCCTCTCCACCTTCTGCCATGAGTAAAAGCTCCAAGGCCTCCCCAGAAGCCAAGCAGTGTCAGTGCCATGCTCATACAACCTGCAGAACTGTAGGCTAATTCAACTTCTTTTCTTTATAAATTACCCAGCCTCAGGTATTTCTTTACAGCAATGCAAGAATGGCCTTCCACAGGTGTCCTTCTAAAGCCCCACCAAGGACTAGAGGTTTCTACTGACCATCCAAGACAGCTCAGTTGGGATTTCAAGTAAGAACACAATGACTAAACATTCCATCTTAGGTCTTCATTGTACTTTCAGTGTTCTGGATTGTATTTTTAAGTCATTCTAACAACTGGCCCTTGTCAATGTCTACACTTACATTACAAACAAAGCCCCATACTTGTAAAACAGCTCCCTGCTTTCCAAATGGCTTTTTATAGCTACCTCATTTAATGAACAGATCTGTGACTTTCTTTTTTGAGACAAGAGTCTAGCTCTGTCGCCCAGGCTGGAATGCAGTGGCACAATCTCAACTCACTGCAACCTCCGTCTCCCAGGTTTAAGCAATTCTCCTGCCTCAGCCTCCCAAGTAGCTGGGATTACAGGCGTGCACCACCACACCCGGCTAAAGTAGAGATGAGGTTTCACCACATTGGCCAGGCTGGTCTCAAAACTCCTGACCTCGTGATCTGCCCACTTGGCCTCCCAAAGTGCTGGGATTACAGGTGTGACTCACTGTGCCCAGCCAGCCCTATGACTTTTTACTTTCCTGTTTTACAGACTGGGATAACCTGGGACAAGACTAAAATTATAGAGCTCCCTAAGTATGCTGACATATACACACCACGCAGGTGAACCTACACAAGGTTAAGGAACAAAACGTTCTCTCGAATCTGCCAAAATCGTGTGTACCCTATAAATTCTAAACAAAACCAGAGATAGACCCAGCTTGCAGAAATACGAAGAAATGGCATGAAGTTGGTGGAAGTGTCTTGAAGAATACATTGTTTATTTTACAGCTTGCACTTCAAGATATGTGCCTTATTATTATCCATGTTACCCTCTTCTGTCATTCTGTCATCCATAATATTCAGTGGTTATAAGAGAACAGAGACAGGGCCCAAGAGGAAGAATGAGAGAGACAGAAAGAAAGAGAGGGAGATTTATTGCCCAAATGAGGTGATGAGTAGAGGACCTCTATCCCCTTAGCTAAAAAGGAAATGAAACACTGTCCCATAAAATAGCATAGATCGAGTTTTTAATTATAATGAAATAAGTAATATCTTGTGCTGAATTGCCAAAACTGTCTAACAACTGCAGATTTTTACTGTAACACTGAACGAAGTCTGGAACTTCTTTCAGGTAGAAATTAATTCATATAAACATTCTAGCAGAGGAGGAAAAAAAGGTAGATAGGCCAGAGCTGGAGAAATATAGAAATGACCCTCAGGCACGGTGGCTCATTCCTGTAATCCCAGAACTTTGGGAGGCCGAGGTGGGCGGATCACCTGAGGTTGGGAGTTCGAGAACAGCCTGACCAACATGGAGAAACCCTGTCTTTACTAAAAATACAAAATTAGCCAGGCATGGTGGCACATGTCTGTAATCCCAGCTACTCGGGAGGCTGAGGCAGGAGAATCGCTTGAACCTGGGAGGCAGTGGAGGTTGCAGTGAACCGAGATCAAACCATTGCACTCCAGCCTGGGCAACAAGAGTGAAACTCCATCTCAAAGGGAAAAAAAAAAAAGGCCCTGAAAGAAAAAGTAAAAAATTAGAGGGAATTTTCCAAGAAACACATTAAACTAGGGCATTATCTAGAAAACATGTGTGGTATTCCACTATTTTTATGTCTCTTCTTCATGTGCTCCCTTAGAACTAGACATTTTTGCATCAAGGAAAATAACAAAGTCAAAGGTGAGAGATGTCAGGCCTAGAAAGTAATATTTCATCACAGTAACAGTTTTCATTCCAACCTAGAAGAACTCCTCATTTTGAGTGTTTTGCACCGACTTCACCAGCTTTAAGAACTGGGCAGGCAAGAATACAGACTTGACTAAGAAGGAGGGGCCCAAAGTCAAATCCAGACCCCTCTTGCTGGCTGTGGAACCGTGGCTGTCTCTTCTCGTAGGTTACTGGGGTTTGACACGAGATGATCCCATGCACAATGCTTACTACGAGGAAAAGCAGTCAGTATGCTCCTAAAGGTTCACTATTCTGCTCATTACCGTCATCCAGTTCTCGGCTCCAAACAATCACATTAGCTTTCTTCAACAGCTGCCTTTTGCAGCTGATAAAAACTGCGCTGCCTGCATTATCTTTGAGAGAGGAAGTAAAAAATATAAATTGCTGCTTAAAGTCCTTGCTGCTAATACCACAAACGCAGCAGAAAAGGGCAAGTTCATCTTATTAAAACGCTTGCAGTTCTGGTCTCTCCTTAAAAACACACATTTATTAGAAGGCAGCATGTTGCTGGCGCAACACTAGGACCTTCCAGGTATTTCTTTAACCCAGGACAATGATAAAAATGTTGTAAGCTGCCTTCCGTATTGTCTGGCAGAGGTCAGAAACCCTGTGCGGGTGGGCGCAGATACACCGGAAAGGCTAACAGGAGTGGGTGGGAGAGGAAAGAAACACCCAGCCACCCACTGTTGCCATCACATGGAACCACAGCACATGAAGCCAGCCTGACCTCACCCTTTGGGAGAAATTTGGTGATTACAGTTTACACAAGTGAGTGCTCAAGCTGGAAAAAATTAAGCAAAGTTCCATTACATGGAAAACACAATTGAGAAATCCCAAAGTGTGACCATGTTGCTTATAAAACAAGACTGATGCATAAAAATTAAGAACCACCCAGAAGATTTATCTGGAACAAAGAGCTTGTCTTTTTCTTTAGAGTTTATTGCTTATGATATAATCTTATAACGATAAAGCCATAATCCTATCATTATGTTATGGTTCCACCGAAGTTGCCATATGTCTGTGATTAGGATATATATATGAATACCTACGCCTTGTTAAAAAGGATTCTCTAGAAAAAAAGAAACTGATCCCTTTAAAAATTAGATACATGTTAAAAGAAACTAGGAGGCTAAGCGGATTAATGAACAGAAAACACTAAAATCTCAAAGTGTAGGGTGTTAAGGAAGTAAAAGTCTATCTGATTAATAATAACAGTACTGGCATCTGCAGAGCACTTTCTCTGTGCCAGGTGCTACCATGCTACGCACTCTGGGTTCATTAACTCAATATTCCCAATGACTCCATGAGTCAATGATGACTCCCATTTTCATAGGAGGAGACTGAGGCTTCCAGGTTCAATAATATGCCCAGTGCCACACAATTAGTAATGGGAAAATAGGAAATCCATCCCAGGCAGCCAGACTTGGAAGACCACAAAGCTACCTCCACGCTGTACGGCTATTCGGTCACCCCGGAGACACCACAGCATCACTGAGATCATCCTCTGGTACCCTCGCTTCTCTGCTCCCCACCTGTGTGGCGGGCAACAGAAAGGAAATGCAGAAACTAGAAATGTTGTCAGGGTCTCTCTTAGGGGAAATCATTGAGGTTGCATAAACAGTTAAATGATGTGAAAAACCTATAATTTAATGGGGCCCAGTCCCTGGGAAAATCAAAAGTACACCTCCAGGCCGAGCGCAGTGGCTCACACCTGTAATCCCAGTACTTTGGGAGGCCAAGGTGGGCAGACTGCCTCAGCTCAGGAGTTCGAGACCACCCTGGGCAACACGGTGAAACCCTGTCTCTACTGAAATACCCAAAATTAGCTGGGTGTGGTGGTACGCGCCTGTAGTCCCAGCTCCTTGGGAAGCTAAGGTAGGAGAATTGCTTGAACCCTGGAGGAGGAGGTTGCAGTGAGCCGAGATCACGCCACTGCACTCTAGCCTAAGCAACAGAGCAAGAGTCCTTCTCAAAAAAAAAAAGTACGCCTACACAACACTGAATTCTGATGTCATTGTAAGAGAAGGCTATGGAACCACATAGTTGGATTAATAATTTTCTTGAACACTTTTAAATAAAATAGAGAACATTGTTTATAGAAAGAGTTAAGATTATGACAGCAATATTAACACTGAAGTCCTGGAGCTCCGTTTAAGTGATCGTTCACCAATAATCCATGATCCTTTAAGGCTCACACTTCTTAGTTACAATCTCATTCCAGGCTCTACTGACCATTTTGTGGTTACACGCTGGCAGGTTATGGTTGCTGAGCATGTGACACCATGGTCCTGCAGCGGTATGGCCTGCAGGGGTTGGCATCTTGGCTGATGTAGATTAATGAGATCACAGCACAATGTGTTTGGTCCTTTAAATTTTGCTCTGGTCTGAACTGTGTGTTAAATTTTATAAATTAACAATAATACCTTCTCATTTTATTAAAGGCTCTTGTTTATTTAACAAACTCAAAAGATTCTTGCTAATTTAGGATAATCTATGCAATCTTTTAAAATCAGTGTTTCTCAGAATGATCAGCAGAGCCTGCTTTAGAATCAGCTTAAACATATTAAAAACTGCAGATTCCTTGGACCCCTCCCCGAGACCTACTAAATCCAAGTCTATGGGGTTGCAGTCCAGGACTCTGCTTTCCTGTAAGGTGCCTCACTGATTCGAATGCATATATGAAGGGTTAAGTCTTAAGGTAAGAGCCAGTACTAACATTTGTCAACTGATTAAAAACTGCAAAAATTAAATTCACTTCTAAAGGGTAAGCC